TTTTTTTGCTCCTAATCAGGCAATGTCATCTGGAGAACTAACTTTTGGTGTTTTTCCTATGGCCATGTCATGTGCTGGAATATTTACCTCCGAATGTCCATGTCATCAGCACTCAGTATACGAAATCAAACAGGAAAGAACGTTCAGATAATAATATTAATAATCATGTTACAACTTGCAGCTCTTGGATGATCGACAGATATCTACTATTTACAGCAAATTAAATCCTGGGGGGTTGGACATCAGGTTGCTTTCATATGCAAAGTTGCATGAAGCAAGGCTTATCACTCTGGGATTTAAATCAGGAGATTCTAGGTAAAACAATCTGTGATGACTTTTCTTCTAGGTGAGAATGGTGAGATTTTTTTCCATGAGTGTGGACGTTGATATCCCAGAAAACATGGTGTTGTATATGCATATGTTGGCACCAAGGGAAACTAATTGCATATGGGGTTGGAACTGTAAGCCACACCGTAAGACCCACCCAGATCACCCAACATCGCTCAGGAATTTCAAAGCCTACATCGAATGTGGGCCAGAATGCAAGGCTCAGTGTGGCAACAAGCGTCTACAGAGCTTGCGTGGATCCGGGGGCAAGGGTCCATGCATTTGGGTCAAGAAGACGCAGCACACTGGGTACGGTTTGTTTGCCGGTCAGCCATTTAAAGCAGGAGCCCAGAGGGTGACTCTGTTTCGTTCTGTAGTGTATTTTGCTTCAATACCTTCAATATCTTCAATGACTGTTCATTTGGATCCATCTGTTGTTGATATGTCTTGAGCATTTATTTATATTTATATTATTTATTCTATGATGCCCTTGCAAGATCTCGCAAGATTCTTGGTGTGACCGAGCTGTATAGGAGACTTGATCTGCGAGTTCACTGGGCAATGGCGCTTGGAGAGCACGTTCATCCCAAACGAACACACAATTCGTGTCAACTGCGCTGGCGATGCCTGTGCATACCTCGACGCAGGAGTGGGTTTCGAGACGCTTTGGGCTGGTGTCAGAATTGTCAGATAGATCGGGTTGTTGTTTCCGTGATTGGTCACGATTCATGATCATTCTGCGCAGGAGAACGTGGCTCAAAAGCGCGTTTCATCAATCACAGCTGCTCAGCGAACTGCCGGTTCGAGGAGCATAGAGTGGCCACGCGAGTTTTTTTCTTTCTAGAGTTTGGATGATTTAGATGATTTTGGATGCGAAAGAGTTACCAAGCGTTTTTCTAGAGTGTTTCTATCGCAGATGCAGGAATGGCACTGTCCGGAAAAAGTATCTGGAGATCTTGGAGAATTGGCTTGGCTACGCTGTGTAGTGGCCGCTTGTAAAGCAAATTAATTCCTGGAGGTTGGACATTAGGTTGCTTTCAATGGCAAAATTGCATGAAGCAAGGCTTAGCACGATGGGATTTAAATTAGGAGATTCCAGGTAAAATATTCTGTGATGACTTTTTTTCTAGGTGAGAATGGTGAGATTATTTTCCATGAGTGTTGACGTTGATATCCCAGAAAACAGGGTGTTGTATATGCATATGTTGGCTTCAAGGGAAACTAATTGCTCCATATTACACCCACCCAGATCATCCAGCATCTCTCAGTCTCTCTCTCTCTCTCTCTCTCTCCTCGGCACGCTTGATTCGTTATTGCCCAAGGCTTTTGCAGATAGGGACATCTGCACTGGGGAGGAGCTCACTGTCAACTACGCCAAGGCGCGAGGGTCAACCTGGAGGGCCACTTTCCCAAGTCACCTATAGTATCATTAGTAATCATTAGCATCTATAGCATCTATAATGATTATAATGTCTATAGTCATCTCGTGTCATCTCATGCGTTTGTTTTGTGATCTTTGTGTTGCCTTTAACTCCCATGTGACCTTTCTGGCGGCTTCCTGCAAGCACTGCAGGCCACATCGAACAACAAGTCCAATCAGAAGAAGAAGAAAGCCAAGCAGATGATGGTGGTTGGGCCAGCCAGTGGTTTCGGCCAATGTCGATGCGGTTCAGATTCGTGCGCCCCTCCAACTCATTCGACATGCAGCGATCCGTCTTGTGTGAGTGAGACAACGGGGAAGCCCCGTTATTCAGTCAAGTCTAAAGTATGGTTGCATGACTGTGCGCATTCAGATGCCCACAAGACCATCTACATGTTTGGCAGCTGGGTTGGGATGGGCTGCAGGAGAGGTCTCGCGAAGGCAGGTTTTGGGTCGCTTTTTCTTTTGACGCTTACTGATTATACTGATTACATCTGATTACTGATTGTTCGGGTTGGTTCCACTGTTTATACTGTTTGAATCTGTTTGATCTGTTTGGACATGTTTGGACTATCGTGGTGTTCCGAGGGTTCAAAATGGTTTTGGAATAGACCGTTGCAGGCCCGAGCAGCTGCATTGGCTGAGCTTGCATCTTCAGCTGCCGATGACGTGGCAGTACCGACAGAGACTCCAGATGCTCCTGCAGAGACATCTTTGGCCGACCCTAGCCTAATGATCCCTAATGATCCTAATGAGACTATTCTTTACAAGATTACAAGCTTTACCTTGATTATCTTGATTACCTTGGATATTGATATATATATTGATACTACCTTTATATTATATCATCCTTGTATATTGATGCGACGTTGCAAGGTTGTCAGGTTTCCCAATTTTCACAGAAATTCAGCTGGGTTTCAAGATTTTTTCCAAACGTGTACACCCTAGAAGCTGATAACGTAGGGAAGTGTGAGCACGCATTGTCGGACACAAAGCATTTGTTTTTGGTAGATGGCCAGATATGGCCAGTGTACTAATAGGTCTTCTACAGCTTCTGAAATGATTATTACATTTTTTTCCAGGGGTGTCAGTCCTTCACATTGTTTTCCCATGAGTTTATGGGGAAGAAGGTCAGCTACAAAGGAAAAAAATGTTCAACACAGGTGAATGATAGCCTGAACATCTTGAACTTTTCGCCTTTTGAGATCTTTTGAGGATACTTCGGATGCATTGTTTGCAGCATTGGAGCAGACCATGGATGAGCAGCCTGATTTGCCGCAGGAGATCACCATAAAGACGAAGAGTGAAACGCCTGCATCAGAATCAGTACCTATACAGCCAGCGGAAATATGTTTGGATGTTCTTTTTGGTATTTTTTGTTTGGTTGAGTTGGTCTGTTGGGATGTTGAAATATTTAGAAGTGATGTAACAGATCTGTCTTTACCCCCACCATGTCACCATTTTCACCATTTGGTCCGAATTCCAGGCATGTAAGAAGGAATTGGTGACACCGTTCACCGACGTCAGCGTCCAGGGTGACAATCGGCTAGATGAGCCATTGCCTTCTTCCACTGGGCGCACAGAATACGCAGAGCCGCAGGGGATTGCAGAGAATCCAGAGACCAAGAAACATGGGACACCGGCTGCTAGGATTAAATTATAATATATTATATGGTTAGTTTTGTTATTTCTAATATTTCTATTTAGTGATATTTGTCGTATCTATTTTGTAATTATCATATAATTATCTATTTGGAGGTCGGTTGGGAGTTTAATTCGGATGTGTGACTTCCTGGATAGCTGTGGGGG